CTAAGTCCATATATCCACCATATTCTAACATTCTAACTCCATACATCCATTATATTGCAGCATTCTAACTCCATACATCCAGCATATTCTAACTCCATATATCCACCATATCCTAACTCCATATATCCACCATATCCTAACTCCATATCCACCATATTCTAACTCCATATCCACCATATTCTAACTCCATATATCTACCATATTCTAAATCCACATATCCACCATATTCTAACTCCACATATCCACCATATTCTAACTCCATATCCACCATATTCTAACTCCATATCCACCATATTCTAACTCCTTATCCACCATATTCTAACTCCATATCCACCATATTCTAACTCCATATCCACCATATTCTAACTCCATATCCACCATATTCTAACTCCATATCCACCATATTCTAACTCCATATATCCACCATATTCTAACTCCATATATCCACCATATTCTAACTCCATATATCCACCATATCCTAACTCCATATCCACCATATCCTAACTCCATATCCACCATATCCTAACTCCATATATCTACCATATTCTAAATCCACATATCCACCATATTCTAACTCCATATCCACCATATTCTAACTCCATATCCACCAGCATATTCTAACTCCATACATCCAGCATATTCTAACTCCATATATCCACCATATTCTAACTCCATATATCCACCATATTCTAACTCCATATATCCACCATATTCTAACTCCATAAATCCACCATATTCTAACATTCTAAGTCCATATATCCACCATATTCTAACATTCTAACTCCATACATCCATTATATTGTAACATTCTAACTCCATACATCCACCATATTCTAACTCCATATATCCACCATATTCTAACTCCATATATCCACCATATCCTAACTCCATATATCCACCATATCCTAACTCCATATATCCACCATATCCTAACTCCATATCCACCATATCCTAACTCCATATATCCACCATATCCTAACTCCATATCCACCATATCCTAACTCCATATATCTACCATATTCTAAATCCACATATCCACCATATTCTAACTCCATATCCACCATATTCTAACTCCATATCCACCATATTCTAACTCCATATCCACCATATTCTAACTCCATATCCACCATATTCTAACATTCTAACTCCATAATATTGTAACATTCTAACTCCATACATCCAGCATATTCTAACTCCATATATCCACCATATTCTAACTCCATATATCCACCATATTCTAACTCCATATATCCACCATATCCTAACTCCATATCCACCATATCCTAACTCCATATCCACCATATCCTAACTCCATATCCACCATATCCTAACTCCATATCCACCATATTCTAAATTCATATATCCACCATATTCTAACTCCATATAACCACCATATTCTAACTCCATATAACCACCATATTCTAACATTCTAACTCCATAAATCCACCATATTCTAAGTCCATATATCCACCATATTCTAACATTCTAACTCCATACATCCATTATATTGTAACATTCTAACTCCATACATCCACCATATTCTAACTCCATATATCCACCATATTCTAACTCCATATATCCACCATATCCTAACTCCATATATCCACCATATCCTAACTCCATATATCCACCATATCCTAACTCCATATCCACCATATCCTAACTCCACATATCCACCATATTCTAAATCCACATATCCACCATATTCTAACTCCATATGCACCATATTCTAACTCCATATCCACCATATTCTAACTCCATATCCACCATATTCTAACATTCTAACTCCATAATATTGTAACATTCTAACTCCATACATCCACCATATTCTAACTCCATATATCCACCATATTCTAACTCCATATATCCACCATATCCTAACTCCATATATCCACCATATTCTAACTCCATATAACCACCATATTCTAACTCCATATAACCACCATATTCTAACATTCTAAATCCATATATTCACCATATTCTAACTCCATATCCACCATATTCTAACTCCATATCCACCATATTCTAACTCCATATCCACTATATTTCAACAATTGTAGCTGTTCTGTGATGTACGGAGGAGAATGAGAGTTGAGATGAGCAGCAGAACCATCAAAGCATCCAGAGAACTCTGACTTAACAGCCAACCGATTGCGAGACATGATCAGAGAGGGGAAATAAGTGCATAAATCAGGGTGGATCGACTGGCCTATATTACCATAGTGACAAACTCCTTCTGATGAGCAGTCTGAGTCTTAGCTATAAAACATGTCTTCAGAGATGGGATGCGACAAAACGTAACCCAAATGTTTAATTCATGGTGGTGGAGAGAATGGAGAGTGGAGCAGAGATGAAAGTGCAGGCATAGCAGTACTTTAACAGGTAGGTGTGTGTGTGAGAGATTGAGCAGGTTAAGACAGAAGAGTATTGCTCTGTACTCCCACCACTCAGAGGACTCAGTCTTTAGTACGGCTGTGCTTCCTCTACTCTGCAGGATACGTCATTCAACATCAAAGATGATTATCTCTTACGAGTATTGCGTACAACCACACTTGTGTTGGTACTTGTGTAGGTGCACCGATTTGAGCTAAGCAGCCATTTTACCAACCGGTCAGAATTACGTGACATCAACTTCTATCTCTACATAGAAAATGTGCCATTACTAGATGTTCAGCTAATATTTTCTCATTGTTTGTGGAGTATTCCAGAATACCAGGGCCTATATTCACAAAGCATCTCAGAGTAAGAGTGCTGATCTAGGATCAGGTCCCCCCCCTGACCATATAATCATATTCATTATTTTCTAAAAGATCAAACTGATTCAAGAACAGCACTCTTATTCTGAGACACTTCGTGAATATAGGCCCAGGGTGTTTTTGCATACTGTGTGAAACAGAGAAACCCACCTTTCAAGGAATCCTGTTCAGCCCTCATAATGTCAATCAGACTGTTCTCCAGAGAGTGCATGCTGAAGCCATCAAAGGAACGGGTTCTCTCCTGCTGAGAGACACACAGACAGACAGGGAACACGAGATGATTGTGGACTAAAGAAAAAAAAAAAAAGAAGACTGAGCACGCCCCCATTCTCATCGACAGGGCTGTAGTGGAACAGGTTGAGAGCTTCAAGTTCCTTGGTGTCCACATCACCAACAAACTATCATGGTCCAAACACACCAAGACAGTCGTGAAGAGGGCACGACAAAGCTTATTCCCCCTCAGGAGATTGAAAAGATTTGGCATGGGTCCTCAGATCCACAAAAAGTTCTACAGCTGCACCATCGAGAGCATCCTGACTGGTTGCATCACCGCCTGGGATAGCAACTGCTCGGTCTCCGACCGCAAGGCACTACAGAGGGTAGTGCGTACGGCCCGGTACATCACTGGGGCCAAGCTTCCTGCCATCCAGGACCTCCATACCAGGCGGTGTCAGAGGAAGGCCCTAAAAATTGTCAAAGACTCCAGCCACCCTAGTCATAGACTGTTCTCTCTGCTACCGCACGGCAAGCGGTACCAGAGCGCCAAGTCTAGGTCCAAAAGGCTTCTTAACAGCTTTTACCCCAAAGCCATAAGACTCCTGAACAGCTAATCATGGCTACCCGGGCTATTTGCACTGCCCCCCCACCCCCACCCCATCTTTTTACCCTGCTGCTACTCTGTTTATTATCTATTCATAGTCACTTTAACTCTACCCACATGTACATATTACCTCAACTAACCGGTGCCCCCGCACATTGACTCTGTACCGGTACCCCCTGTATACAGCCTCCCTACTGTTATTTTATTTTACTGCTGCTCTTTAATTATTTGCTATTTTACTTAACACTTTTCTTTTCTTAAAAACGGCATTGTTGGTTAAGGGCTTGTAAGTAAGCATTTCACTAAGGTCTACACCTGTTGTATTCGGCGCATGTGGCAAATAAAATGTGATGATTAGCCTGCAGTGTTCTATCTAAGAACAGGAAAACAGAACCATTCTGACTCTAGAACCTGGAGGTGGTATGTTCTAATCTAGATCCTTGACAGAGTTTTGCTCTGATAATAGATGACAACTGTGTTGTCCTGGTACTTTAGATCCTCTAAACAGTTACACGTCCACGGAGACGATCTGTGGGGACGCTTATCAAATAAAATACCACCAAAATCTATGTATCTGATTCTACAGAGATATCTCCAGATGTAGGCCATCTACTTCTTTTGTATCACATGCCCCTGTCTCTGTAGATAGACAATGAACGCTTTTCAAATAATCCCTTCCTTGAAGTAATCACTGATCTGTGTGTGACTGGAAAGCTAAAGCTAGATTTACACACTACTGCTTTAGCCAATCCAGGTCATGACAGATCTGCGATTACCTCAAGAAGAAAAGATGCATGCCTTCTTTATGTATTCAAACAGAAAAGCCTACAGAAGTGAGCTGACAGTATGTCAACATTTGTCATACAGGTGTTGTGGCATCTAACGCGCTGCATCTCTAACAAGGACAGAAGACTGAGGTTTCCATCCCAAATGGCACCCTATTCCCTATATATATATAGTGCACTCATTTAGACCGGGCTCTGGTTAAAAGTAGTGCACTATACTATACACTATACTGAATATTGTGTCATTTGGGACATACACATTACCGGATTAGGCCTCTCCATGTCATATGCTTCCCACCACATTCACAGATCTATAAGACTACATCTCCAATAATACGTAGTTACTTACACGTGAGTTTCATCATTTAGATGGCCTGATTGTCATTGATGTTATCAGATGCTCTATTTACTAGACTCTAGTAACTAGATCATATTTGCTCTTATCATTTACTTTGATGTGTACTGTATTGCGCATATCAGAACATATAATTTGGCTCTGATAATTGTATCGAAAATGCCTTTTCAAGGCTACACGTGTTGGTTTTAACAATATAGAAGGATGTTTGAACTTCACTTTCATTGTCCTATAAGAGTGGATGAATATATTTTCCCCTCTACAGTTTGCTCCTCTGTACTCACCTGGAAAGGGAAGTTGTCAGTGCGACTCATGCTGTCCTCCATCCAAGCCTTGTGGTTGAACCCAGAGTTGTTACGAAGATACTTCTGAGAGGGAATCTGGAAGACAGGAAAATATGATATAGGACTGTACCATGTAGTACATGTGGGATAGTACCATGTGATTGTACCATTGAAGTGCATGACAGACACTTTCTATTAAGGCTCAATAGACAACAGCATTAGCTGGATTACAGCCTGTAGGCGTGAATAAATGATATTATAACCAACTAAATCAAGCACAATGAGTTTGGCAAAACATTGAAATGAAAGAAAATCATTGACTAGTTAATTGTAGGCCATTATATGATTATGGTTAAGCTACTCATCAGTCTGAAGCCTTTGGGACATCCAGTCTTGGCAGGTATGATGTGCGCAGTATATCTAGCACGCACAGTGCCAGCTTGTTTGACGGGAGGTGTGCAGTATATCTAGCACGCACAGTGCCGGCTAGTTTGACGGGAGGTGTGCAGTATATCCAGCTAGTACAGTGCCAACTTGTTTGACGGGAGGTGTGCAGTATATCTAGCTAGTACAGTGCCAGCTTGTTTGACGGGAGGTGTGCAGTATATCTAGCTAGTACAGTGCCAGCTTGTTTGACGGGAGGTGTGCAGTATATCTAGCTAGTACAGTGCCAGCTTGTTTGACGGGAGGTGTGCAGTATATCTAGCTAGCACAGTGCCAGCTTGTTTGACGGGAGGTGTGCAGTATATCTAGCACGCACAGTGCCAGCTTGTTTGACGGGAGGTGTGCAGTATATCTAGCTAGTACAGTGCCAGCTTGTTTGACGGGAGGTGTGCAGTATATCTAGCACGCACAGTGCCAGCTTGTTTGACGGGAGGTGTGCAGTATATCTAGCTAGTACAGTGCCAGCTTGTTTGACGGGAGGTGTGCAGTATATCTAGCTAGTACAGTGCCAGCTTGTTTGACGGGAGGTGTGCAGTATATCTAGCTAGCACAGTGCCAGCTTGTTTGACGGGAGGTGTGCAGTATATCTAGCTAGTACAGTGCCAACTTGTTTGACGGGAGGTGCGCAGTATATCTAGCTAGTACAGTGCCAGGTTGTTCGACGGGAGGTGCGCAGTATATTTAGCTAGTACAGTGCCAACTTGTTCGACGGGAGGTGCACAGTATATCTAGCACGCACAGTGCCAGCTTGTTTGACGGGAGGTGCGCAGTATATCTAGTACATTGCCAGCTTGTTCGACGGGAAGTGCACAGTATATCTAGCTAGTACAGTGCCAGCTTGTTCGACGGGAGGTGCGCAGTATATCTAGCTAGCACAGTGCCAACTTGTTCGACAGGAGGTGCGCAGTATATCTAGCACGCACAGTGCAGTATATCTAGCTGGCACAGTACCAGCATGTTAGATGTGAGTGTGCAGTATATCTAGCTAGTACAGTGCCAGCTTGTTCGACGGGAAGTGCACAGTATATCTAGCTAGTACAGTGCCAGCTTGTTCGACGGGAAGTGCACAGTATATCTAGCTAGAACAGTGCCAGCTTGTTCGACGGGAGGTGCGCAGTATATCTAGCTAGCACAGTGCCAGCTTGTTCGACAGGAGGTGCGCAGTATATCTAGCACGCACAGTGCAGTATATCTAGCTGGCACAGTACCAGCATGTTAGATGTGAGTGTGCAGTATATCTAGCTAGAAGAGTACCTGGTTGTTGGGGAAAGACTTCTTTAGTGGTGAGATGGAGTTGAGGGCCGTCACCCCTCCGTTGAGGCCCCTGCGGTACTCTCGGACCCCCTGTGACCCTCCCCAGCCACCGTACCCCCCTCCCCCAGGGCTCCAGGAGGTGGAGGTGGGTGTGGAGGGGGCAGGGCTCTGGTAGCTGCCCCAAGGGGAGGGGGGCTTGGACTGGGCCGGGGCCAGGTGGGGCAGCTGGGTGAAAGCTCCAGAGCGGTGGGGGTGAGGAGGGAAGGAGGGCTGGGGAGGGTGGGGGGAGGCTGGGGAGCGGCGGTGCTGAGGGGGGACCCCCTGGTTGTGGGGGTGGTAGTGGTGGGGGTGGGGAGAAGGGTGGTGCTGGGAGACAGGGCCGATCTGGGGGGAGAAGCTGCCCCCCGCCCCTCCGAAGCCGGGCCCCGTGTGGTGGGAGAAGTTCTGGAACAGCATCGGGGGTCCGTTACCGTTGGAACCAGCCGGGCCGAAGAACCCACCCCCAACGTCCTCACTGACCACAGGGGAGGGGTTGGAGGGTACGGTCGGGGACCAGTTGTTGAAGGAGGTCAGGGAGGAAGTGGTGGTGGTGGACTGGGCTCCAGACATCCCCATCCCCAGGTTGTCCTGGTAGTCAAACCCCCCCAGCACCGGAGGAGAGTCCATCCCACCCCTAAGCTTCTCCTTCCCACCACTGCTCTCCAACGAGCCCTTCTCCATGGAGCCGTCCTCGGGTAGGGTCCCATCTAGCTCCCCTAGGCCACCTCCGGCATCTTGCTGCCCAGGGGAGAGGGCCTGCGGCTGGGCCTGGGCCTTCTCCTGCAGGTCCAGGGCTTTGGCCTTGTCGGAGTCAAGGATCTCATCCTGCATGTTACTGTGGGGTGCTACGGAGGGGAACAGCCAGGCGCTACCTCCTCCATTGGTGGCCGAGGTGCTGTTGATGAATGAGGGGGGGCTGGGGGGGTGGTTGAGGTGGGAGGGCTGGGGTTGGAGGTGAGGGGGGATCCTCACGGGGAAAGCAGATTTGTTGCCACTGCCGTTATTCTTCACCAGGACTCCGAAGCCGTAGTCGTCCATTTATGAACCCGGGGTAAAGCCGATGTTTCCTCCTCAACTTGGTTCTTCTTATCTCAGTGTTTTCTAGGCCTATTTCCTACTGTATAACATGGGGAAGGAGAGGTGTGAGGGAGAGAGGGGGAGGGAAGGGTGATGTAGGGGAAAGAGTGGGTGGGGGGGTTACATGGGGAGAGGGGGGAGAGGGGGGGATACATGGGGGGGTTGAGGACATAAATACAAAAGCTGTCACATCACAATTTGAGCCTACAGGCCTTCCAAAACAACACCAGCCTCGCCAACAGCAGTGACTTTGCCGCAACTGCAGCCTGTTAGTCCTGTGATGTAACTCAATGAGATTAAATCATTGACTGGTTCAACCACGGTAGGCCAAGTCTACATGATAAAATAACACAGACTAAGCATAGCAGTAGCACTAACAGGCCACAACAGAAAACACCCGAGCTAACCTGCGTAGGTTAGCTGCGGTAGAAGCACATATCACCAGCCAGGCAGGCTGGCTACGCTGTTAGTTGACGTTTCACTTCCCAAAGGTCGTTATGTGGCTAGCAAGCTAACAGCTGCTGCGTTGGGGTCCATGTGCCCTGTCAGTCAAACATTGCGATTATCAGTGTTGGTCTATATGCGGTCTATATGCAGTGTACTGTGTATCTATGCCCGCGAGTTATAATGAAGGTAAATACACCAACACCTACCGAATATCTAGATTTTTTTTTCTTCAATGACCTCCTCCTCCTCCGACCATTTAAAGAAAATGCTGATGACGTCTCTTGTCTGTTCTGAATCTAGAGTAGCCTAGTTCCCTGTATAAATGCCGCTAGACTAAGGTAATAGCCGACAAGCTACCACAGTAGATACATTGTAGCCGATCTAGCGAGCAATCGACGCAGATAAGCAGCAATGTCGATGAGAAATTAAACAACGTATCCTAAAATTCCACCGACAGCGATACACGGACAGGATCTGCGGTAATATTGGTATTAAATGGTGTGTGTATCTTTAAACGACCTCGTCGGTTTCGTGTCCTGTGAGTTCAATGTCATAGCTTAGCACCAATCGTTGTCATCATAATTTAGCAATTCCAAACTACGGGTATAAACTTGAGTGCAATTCTCTGGTACGACATTACATTTATGAAACTGATTCTAGATCGTGCATTATGTACCTCTAAATTGTCGTCATGTCCTTATGGTTCCTAGATGTTGCCATATTTCAGCTTTTTTCCATTTTCTGCATTTCCAAGTCAGCGGGTGCTAATGGTCTCTTCTAGTCGATGACAGCTGGGCCAGTTGGTAGACACTTCCGGCTCATAACGCCGCCCCCTCCACCAACTCCCATCCACAGACTACAAGGGTTTCCCTCTGCGGCCTCGCCCCTTTCCACCGATTAATGGCGTTTAATTGGATATGTGCGAGGAAGCCACACCCATCTCACGCCTTTTCAATGAAATGGCACATGCGTTCAAGACGTTCTCCGCCCAAATAAGGATGTCGAGAAATTCATGGGTGGGAGTTGCATGTACAAGCAAATAAATGTGAGGAAATCAAACTAGATGTATTTTATACATTCAATACTCACTGCATTTAAAAATCTAGTCAGTCAAGGCTTCTGTATGCTATTCAGCTATGATGAAATGGGTTTATTAAACAAATTTTACCCAAGAAAAACGCAAGATAAGAGGCCAATCTTGACTCAGCTAGCACATTTGGTTCCTTGGAAGTTGTGGTAACATCCGTTTTTGGTTTATCATTGGTTCTGGGAACGAAGCCATACGTTTCCTGACTGGTAAAACTGTTTAAAAAAAAATAAAAAAGTTCTGAGAACTGAAGTGAAGATTTCACCTGCTCTGGGCACATTCATTTTTAGGTTGCAGGGAGGTTCTGAGAACGTCTTACTATGGTTTCCTGAAAGTTTTCATTAACTAATGAGAATGGAAATTATAGGTTATTTGAAGGTAATGAAATAATGTTCTGAGAACAAGTTTCATGAAGACTATTAATAAAACTGCTAGCTTAGGTTAACTGTTTTGAACTCCAACCACAGATAGGACACATGGCAATAAATGTGCTTACATGCGGACCACAACGCCCGCGTTGCGTGCGCGAGTGTTGCAAAATAAATTGTACACATACACTACCGGTCAAAAGTTTTAGAAAACCTACTCATTCAAGGGTTTTTCTTTATTTTTACAATTTTCTACATTGTAGAATAATAGTGAAGACATCAAAACTATGAAATAGCACATATGGAATCATGTCGTAAACAAAAAAGTGTTAAACAAATCTAAATATATTTGAGATTTGAGATTCTTCAAATAGCCACCCTAGCCTTGATGACAGCTTTGCACACCCTTGGCATTCTCTCAACCAGCTTCACCTGGAATGCTTTTCCAACTGTCTTGAAGGAGTTCCCACATATGCTTAGCACTTGTTGGCTGCTTTTCCTTCACTCTGCTGTCCGACTCATCCCAAACCATCTCAATTTGGTTGAGGTCGGGGGATTGTGGAGGCCAGGTCATCTGATGCAGCACTCCATCACTCTCCTTCTTGGTAAAATACCCTTAAACATCCTGGAGGTGTGTTGGGTCATTTATTTGAGCTGCAATTTCTGAGGCTGGTAACTTTAATGAACTTATCCTCTGCAGAAGAGGTAACTCTGGGTCTTCCATTCCTGTGGCGGTCCTCATGAGAGCCAGTTTCATCATAGCACTTGATGGTTTTTGCGACTGCACTTGAAGAAACGTTCAAAGTTCTTGACATTTTCCGCATTGACTGACCTTCATGTCTTAAAGTAATGATGGACTGTTGTTTCTATTTTCTTATTTGACCTGTTCTTGCCATAATATGGACTTGGTCTTTTACCAAATAGGGCTATCTTCTGTATATGCCAAGAGTGTGCAAAGCTGACATCAAGGCAAAGGGTGGCTATTTGAAGAATCTCAAATATAAAATATGTTTTGATTTGTTTAACACTTTTTTGGTCACTACATGATTCCATATGTGTTAATTCATAGTTTTGATGTCTTCACAATTATTCTACAATGTAGAAAATAGTAAATATAAAGGAAAAACCCTTGAGTAGGTGTTCTAAAACTTTTGACCGGTAGTGTACATGTCATTCAATCATTTCATCCAAACTGTTCACGGGCGTCTGCGTAGCCAGGCGCTAAAATAGAACTTGGTTCAATTTTTTACGCATGACGCGCTGCAAGTCCCGCCTCTCCCATCTCCTCATTGGTTTTTAGGAACATATACCCATGTGGGTGATTGAAAGATGAACTGAGGTCCACACTCCAGTCCAGTTGGTGGTGGTAATGCACCTTAAAGTTGGTTGCCAACCGCCATATAAAGTCCACAGAACAAGAAGAAGACTGAAGGAGGAGGAGGAGGCCCATGGGAGGGTTGGTTTTGGGAAAATGGCAGAAGCGGATGTTCTGTTTGAATCGGAGTGGAGATGACAGTGAGAAGAATTGGATTACAGTGGACATAAGAGAAGTAAAGTGGTAGTGGAAACTAATAAATCCAAACCTAGTTCTGAGTCTTTTTTTGGTTGGAATAAGGGTTTTGGATCGATGTTGCTGCCTGGGAGATCCGTTTGAAGTTCAAATTGTGTATGCGTTGGATGAGAATAAGGAGAAGTGGGCTTATTTAGTTTTTTTAGTTTTTGTGGAACAGAAGGAGTGTGCTTTGCGCCTCAAGAAGTTGTCGGATTGGAATTGTCGTGTGTGGATCTTCGAAGCAGGGTGCCTATCAAGGGTGTTATCTTTGGGGTGGCGCAAAGGATATACAGTGCATTCGGAAAGTTTTCAGACCCTTTGACTCTTTCCACACTTTGTTTACGTTACAGCCTTATTCTGAAATGGATTACAACAAAAAAATCCCTCATCAATCTACACACAATACCCAATAATGACAAAGTGAAAACAGGTTTTTAGAAATGTTTGATATATTGTTTTACAAATAAAAAACAGAAATACCTTACTTAAATAAGTATTCAGACCCTTTGCTATGAGACTCGAAATTTAGCTCAGGTGCATCCTGTTTCCGTTGATCATCCTTAAGATGTTTCAACAACTTGATTGGAGTCCACCTGTTGTAAATTCAATTGATTGGACATGATTTGGAAAGGCACAAACCTGTCTATATAAGATCCCACAGTTGACAGTGCATGTCAGAGCAAAAACCAAGCCATGAGGTCGAAGGAATTGTCCGTAGAGCTCTGAGACAGGATTGTGTCGAGGGACACAGATCTGGGGAAGGGTACCAAAAAATGTCTGCAGCATTGAAGGTCCCCAAGAACACAGTGGCCTCCATCATTCTTAAATGGAAGAAGTTTGGAACCACCAAGACACCTCCTAGAGCGGCCTCCATCATTCTTTCTTTTGTATTTTACCCCCTTTTTCGATCTTGTCTCATCGCTGCAACTCTCCAACGGGCTCGGGAGGCGAAGTTCGAGTCATGCGTCCTCCGAAACATGACGTGCCAAACCGCACTTCATAACACCCGCCCGCTTAACCTGGAAGCCAGCTGCACCAATGTGTCAGAGGAAACACCGTTCACCTGATGACCGAGGTCAGCCTGCAGGTGCCCGACCCGCCACAGGTAGCCACTAGAGCGCGATGAGCCAAGGAAAGCCCTCCCGGCCAAACCCTCCCCTAACCCGGACGACGCCCTATGGGACTCCCGATCACGGCCGGTTGTGATACAGCCCGGCATCAAAACCGGGTCTAGCACTGCAATGCAATGCCTTAGACCGCTGCGCCACTCGGGAGGCCCCAGCCTCCATCATTCTTAAATGGAAGAAGTTTGGAACCACCAAGACTCTTCCTAGAGCTGGCCGCCCAGCCAAACTGAGCAATCGGGGGAGAAGGGCCTTGGTCAGGGAGGTGACGCTCTCACAGAGCTCAAGAGTTCCTCTGTGGAGATGGGAGAACCTTCCAGAAGGACAACCATCTCTGCAGCACTCCACCAATCAGGCCTTTATGGTAGAGTGGCCAGACGGAA